CGAGAAACAGTGCTGCTAGCGATACCAGGCTCCTGAGCTTCACTTTGCATGATTCGACCTTTTTCGAGTTTCCCGATTACTCTTTCTTGTGCCAACTCATCCAGACGATATCTGCGGGACATGATGTTAGATGGATACCACCATAGTACTTATTAGCCACTGGCTGATTGACAAATAAAAAATTTTTCGTATCTAACAACTTCCTCGATTTGCGTGGGTATTCATATTTCTCGCTTTATTGGACTATTCCTTCACGAAGGGAAGTCCAGCTTCCTGTGCATAACCGTTTTAGGTCTGGCAATATACTCCCCCACTTTCATTTATTTCCACCCAGTCCTCAATGTTTTATGTTCCATTATCCATCTCGTCCCTAAGTTTTGCACACCAGTGTATAATCAGAATTTATGCCGGCGACTCCGATGCAGTCTCGAAATGACGATAACGAAATAGAGGAGTACGAGGTAGCTAATCGGTAGGTATCCCGCATGCTCAGTGCGGGGTAGCTGAGCATATACATACATACAGAAAACTGGCTAATTCTATTCTGGACAATGACTGCATTACCCTGTTCAACCAAATTCATGGAATGCTGACGTCAAAGGCTCCTAAAGTCATTCAGCTTCTCGACCGTTTTCTAAGTAAGCTACCTTTGCTGTCTAAGGTCGTAGAGGAAAGCGACAAAGGCAGAGGTCAGTGGTTTTTCGCGGCATACCTGAGGCAGAGCGTGATTTCTTACAGGCATACTTGATTTGCTAGACATCGAGAATCGTCCTATAGAAATTTACAGGATGGGCTTAAATGTTTGTTTTCTTCTAGTCGTTTCATGTTGGAGACCTTATCTACTACTCACTGGCAGCCGTGATTGCCTTCATCTGTTTTGGCGTGTCGATACTCTTCTCGGTTTGAAGCATCATGACACAAAGTCAATTTGTTGGACGCTCTTGGCCTGGAGGATGCATCGTTGTTTTGTTTTGTTTTGTTTTCTGATATTGCCCCTATACTGCTTCTCCTCTCCGTGCTCAAGTATTGCAGCTTCCCTACTAGTTCTTCCTTCGCAGGAATGATACTCATCGGGCTCATTTCGCAACGACCAGCACCACCAAAACCCCTAAACCTGATACGGCAAGAGGGTCTCAGGTCTGATTGACGTGGCATGATGCGCGGCGGGTTTTGCCAAGTTTACCGGTTGGTGCTGGCTTGCTCTGAAGCGTATGCTCAAGGCCACAGCCCTCCTAGCCTCTTGAATCCCAACTTCAGGGGTTGAGATTTGTCCTCACCGTGTAATTCCTACATTGTTGCCTCTGGTCTAGGGAAGACTGCTTGCCAAGCGACACTCTGGTCCATGTCTCTGTTGGTACTCATCAATTTCTACTATTTGTTAACTAATCCTGAGTGTTATGGCGAAGCATTGTTTCAACTTTATGTTCATTACATTTTGTTTGGTTTGTTTCTTTTTCTTCGAGTCTGTATGATCGTTTCCGCGAACAGCCGTACGTTTCAATACAGTGCGCCATGAAGCGCATGAATAAATAAATAAGTAAGTAAATAAATAAGTACTCCCCGACCACCTGAAGATGTTACAGTTTTTCTCTAAAACAAGGGTCTTCAAAACATTGTTGATATCGTCGAAATTCCTCCTGACAATCTAAAGCGCCATCTAGTCCGTAACCGCATGTAGGATCGCAGAGGTGCAACACCTAATTGTGTTGTCTGTCCTAATGGCAGAGAAGGTGACTGTAGCGCAACTGGTGTGGTCTACAAAATAACTTGCCAAAGCTGTGGAGATACGTATAAAAGTGAGACTGCTAGACCACTCCGTGTTCGAATCAAAGAACATTTAAACGGTAAGGCTAGGTCACTCCCCTCAACTGCCTTAGGTTGGCACAGGGCGCAAACTCATAATGGAGACGACTTCGGGGTCACGGTCGAGGTCTTGGCGCATGAGGCACAAACAGCCGCAAGGAAGACACCAGAGGCATTTTGGATCCGGATCACGGACCCAAAAATGAACCGGAAGGGGGAATGTGTGTCAATCACGCGCGAACACACCCCCTAAATAAAGCTAACCTTTCACTGTGAATTTTGAACTCGAGACAGCCAGTCTACATCGCTCACGAGAACCGGCTCTGCTCATCAGGAAGGTACGGTACTTTTTATCCACCTAGAATTTTAGGATGATCAAGTTGGTTTCGAAGATATTGTGGGGGATGGAAATGTTTGGTCGGGTAATCTCATAAATTGATTCCATCCTTTTAGGCTCCGACGAAGGTGGTTTCACGGAAACGTTAGCCATTAAGGTATTGTAAACCTCGTGTGGAGTTATACAAATAAAGTTTTTCAAATCCAGCCCTTCACACGCAACGTCACGCGTCATCTGCCGTCCCACTTGCCCAATGGTTACCACACTTACGTTCCACACTGCACTCATTGCCCTGCATAACTAGATCGTCTTGGATGGAGCCATGCAAATAGCACGACGGCGCAAGCGCGTCGCTCCCTCCTGTCAATGATGTGCTTCCTTTCTTCGGACATCCCCTTTAGGGTTTATGGATGTGGAAGCCGCATCAATTGGGCCCCTAGTAAATCCTTATATGATGAGGGCAGAACCGTCATCTGTCACCACCTCTTACACGGGATTCTCCTGAGAAACATCGTGGTCACCTCTTACAGGGAATAGTACCGCCAGGTAAAGGAAGAAAAGGGTGGGACGACTTTGGTACCGAACCACGGCCGACTCAGTAAAACGACGACAGAAGGAAGTGGAAATACTTTTACCAACTAAAAGAAATTTCACCAGATGCCGCTTCATCAACGACTTCCGACACCGTTAATGTCTCGATATCTCTGTGCCGACAGGTCAACTCGTTGTAGGCTACGCCGCATCCCTACGCCGTGCACGGATATGGAACGCCCCCTCTGCATTGGACGATCTGTCATTGCCGTCGTAACGCAGGTATAAGACCCCGTTATTTTAAACAGTATCAACTTTCCTTTTTCGGTCATATTTTCTTTCCTCCTTCATGATTTTTTAATTAAAGGGGGAAGTGTCAGCTCCGCCGTCCAAGCGCGGCGATGAGATGGTCATGTTTTCACGGCGAGACTTTTCCATACCCATCTTGGGGAGCGAGGCTCTGGCCTCAAGCAACATCTTGCCAGTAATAGATCTCTCTTTCAGTGCCTATGTGTAGCTATTCCTGTCCTATATTCTATATTTTGAACCCTGTGAGATCTCTAATCCCGTTGTGATGAGCATTCGTTCTTCCTTGAGTCGGTTACCAGATGAATAAGTCACAATTTTCCGGTTCTACAAAGAAGCAAAGATGAAATGCACCCCCTGTGCGCGCGAGCTTACGGAACTACGAAAATGAGGCTGCACTTGTTTTCCACCTGCTGGATATAAAAACAGAGTCAGATTCCTCAACTAATCCTTTCTGTGGAAACGGACAAAGGCGAGATACACCTACTCCCTCTGGGAAAAATTCTTTCCCACCAGCTGGTTTCAAAGAATCCGGATTTTTTCGAATTTCTCTCCTTGAGGAACATTTGGATAAAATAGCACGTCAAAAAAGTCAGAGCTAGCTGTTCCTTGGAGGTACAGACAATTCAGCTAGCTCTTTTCAAGCCCTTGAGAAGAATTATCAAAGCTTCTCTACTAACATTCCTAAAAAAGTGAGAATCCGATGGCAAACTTCTGAACAACTTTTCCTCAGTGAGAAGACAGAATTCAGCCGAATCTCTTCTTTCGAATCCTCTATGAGGAACTCAAAAAGAACCCAACAAAGACACGTGTGGCAGGGGTGACTCTACTGCGAAGCGGAAGCTTCATGAACTTTAAGGCTTTAAACTCGCTAAAATAACTGTCAATACTCAGTGATCGGAGAGAGAACATTATATAATGGCTGAAATTTGAGCGTTAAAACAAAGATTACCCATGTTCGCGTGCTGACTAAGTCCAATGACCCAGAAAGCATTAACTGGAACGAACCATCACGTTCCCCGCTCGAATGGAGAAATGCAAGGACTATATCAAGAAGAGAAATTTGTTGCCGAATCGTTCGGCAGCGTCAATCGACTCAGCAAGCAGTCCCATAACATATGCGTTAAAGAAGACATAGAAAATATCAGTGAAGGAATGGATCCTGAAAAACGCTGAAAGTTCGTGCTGTACCTGAACGAGCACATTGAAGCCGACTCCAACATGCATGGAGCCGCTGCCACATACTGTTTAAAAGATCGACTCCAGAAAAGGCGAGTTACCGCATCAAAGCGCACTGATGACTTCGTCTTGAGAAAGCAACAACCATATCGTGCGTAACACCAGCTGTCAAGGAAGGCCTAGTGCAGCAATGTCACAAGAATGCAAAGTTCAAGTTCAATGCGCACTACATGAAGCAACTGCCTCCAGACCTCCAGAGGAAATTACACGGAATTTAGCAGCTTTTGGTCAGTCTTCGAATTGCTTATTCACAGCGACAGCGACCTGAGTGACCGAAAAAAATTCTTTTTTCTGAAACAGGCATCAGAAGAGAAACTAGGCACTAGAGAGGTATGCATTTCAGACGTCAATATTCTCAAGGAAAGTTACGACCAATCTGCAAGCATCGCAAATATCCTAGTAAACGAAACCAAACGTCTTCCCAAGCTCAAGGAAACCTAAGCAGTTGCCGCGAAACCTTCCCAGCTACTTCTTCGAAGGAGCGGATCGGGACATCAATGAATGCCGATCGAATGTCGAGACGTCTAATACTCTCGAATTTCGCGGAATCTGCACAGTTGTCGAGATAGAAAAGACGCCGGGAGTTTCTTCTACGTAATTGAGATTATTAAGCCCACCGAAATTATCACTCTCCAAGAGACGAGGCCCGGGGCCAAAAGGCGTATGCTGGAAATGCTTCAGTAAAGAGCACGTTACGAGACACCGCTTCGTTGTTGACAAATTAGAGTGTAACAAAGGCCACCTTTAACCACTATGCGCTTCTAACAAAAGCAGATTGAACCATCGAACAAATCAAGTCTTAAACAATATCCACCTCCATATGCAAGTTCTCAAGCAACTTCGAAAAGAATAAATTCGATCAGTCACTGTTGCTTAACCGTCATCAAGATTGCAAAAGCAGCAACAAGGAAGTTGCCGGGCTGAAGCCTTTTCAATACTGCTGCTAAGGTCAATATAACACCCGTGTCAAATCAACTAGCTCGTTGTCGAGGTGCTACGAATACCATAAGCTCAAATTTTTGATAAACTCCAGTTGAATTATCAAACCAGGACACTCCTCTTGCATAAATTAGCTCACGAAGCTTTACCAAATTATCCCTTGGAGAGTCGTTTGAAGTGCCGTCGCTCAGTACTACTTCACTCACAACCGCAGGGAAATTTCCCTATCCAATCAATTTGGAGTACATTAAAAAGCTGCGGTGACCCGAAAAAAGCTGCAGCATTCATCAGCCTGCACTTCAACAGTTTGAAAAGCCCACACGAGGACTGCCAAACTATCAGTAGCAGACAAGAGCTTCCTAGAAAAAAATGATAATAATTGCGCAGCGAAGTCTACTTACCCCCCTGCCGGTCTACCACCTCAACGAAGTGGGAGGGTGGCGTGTTAGGCGGTAGGTAATAGGCGTGAAGGCGTGTCCGAGTTCAGGTAAATTTGGTTAATGTAACAATGATATTTCAGTTTCTTTACTAACTCTTAGTATTTTTTAGTATTTTATCATATGCCATAATGCAAAGCTTCAGTGTTCTTCGGTCATGCGAGCGTTTATCTTGACCGACTGTCACTTCGCGTTTGAAGCTGTGGTTAGGTAGATCTGCGTTCAGCTGGAGGGATGGCAGCCCCCTTCCTTGAGTGGGCCGTGATCGCGGTTGGATTCGCGGCATCCTGTTGCACAGCAACATGCTTGCGTCCCTATGATCAGATGTCGGCTTCAACGGTCCGAAATCCCTCGCCTAAGTTTTCCACAGCTTGATGGAGTTCTGTGTTGGAGCCTTCATCACCTTAAATTTCTATTTATATATCTGAATATATAATAATTTATAGTTCAACGGAACGTCTGCACGTCTGAACGGCCAACAGTAGGCCATCTCGGTTGGCTTTGATCCAGAATGGCTATAGCCACGACGGTGATGACTCAGCATTGGCCCTGGCAAGGCAGTGTTGAGACTCCACTGAATAAGCTCGCTAAAACAGTAGTAAAAGAGCCTTTGTAGCCCGCACACAAAGCCCAGCCGTCTTCCGCGTCGGACGGTATGGCAACCGGTGAGAGGCGAAAACATTTCGGGTTGCGCAGGATGCCTCGGATTTCGGATCATGACAGCACTCCCTCCACACGACACGGAGACTGTTTCCTTCTTCAAACCTACAGTGCGAGAACAGTGTCTTCCAATGCAGCTTTCCAAAAGCTCCACGATGCGGCTAGTCACATTAAGTATCATGTGCTGCGCTGCAAGAAACCAGGAGCAGGACTGGCGTACGAGGAATGAATGATGGAACCCTCACCACTTGGGTGGAAAGCTTTCAAAGCTTTTTGGTTCGGTCGTGCACCCATCTGTCATTCATCTCGTCGGTTCTCACGAGATCCTATCTCCTCACTTTGCCATCTCACGCCTATTACGTTCTCACCTGGAGACCTTCTCTATCATAAGTTGCTACTCTCCCCGCTCCCCCACTCTACAGCCGAGATACAGCAGAGCTCAATGCCTTTTACTACCAACTTGAGGAAATCAAGAACAAGAGCGAGAACGAGAATAAAAGCTGTCTAGCAAGACTTTCACCCGCATCTCGACTCTTCCGTCGAAACTCCAGAAGAATGATTATCGCCGCTGGACATGGGAGTCTCCAAACTGTACAACTCATGCTGAACTGGACCATACATTAACAAGCGGAAAGTGGTGCTTACTAGATACTACTACTTCTAGTTGATGTAGTACCATCTTTCTGCAGTGGTACTCATGATCGATTCCTTCGCGCTAAGATCACATTCAGCCACAAGTTGGAAAAGACCTCTCGTCATCGCAGAAAGAGCTCGAAGCACATTGTATACGATGTAGATGTTCTGAATGACGTCTGATACGACTGGTAGGCCTCGGATGACCCGGCCGAAGATTACGACGGTTGGTTCGAGGCCTCCTCATTGTGTTGAACAGTCCAGGCTTCCTCGAATGGATACCTCCACTCGCAGTTCGGGTGCGACGAAGGATCTTTTCAGGACAAGAAGGAATTTGAGGCTTGACCAGAACGCCCACACCTTGAAAGGTTGCAAGCGAATATCAGCTGCCGACAGGCAGTGCGGCGGGACCTTCAGCTATACAGGGATGGGATACTACTGAAGGCAGCTTGAACAGAACTAGTCCGAGAAAACGCTATCGGGATCTTCAGGACCACAGTACTCCTCCTTTTGTGTTTGAAGAAGGGGGACGGAACCCTTACAACATCGAAATTTGAGATGGAAAAAGTTTCATGAAACTTTACAGCAACTTGTACCGATCCACGACATACGTGCGCAAACCAAAATTCCCCATTGGTGGAACAGCACCTCGGATCCTTCCTTCGGAGGGGAGAGCTGCGACAGCGAACATGAAAAGACGACATCTCTAAGTCCTGACAAGTTCACAGCCGATCTACACCGTGCAGGTGGCTACGAACTTCATGCGCTTCTCGCAACACACATGAAATGCCAACTTCAGAAGGATAACATCCCAGCTGATGGAGGAAATCGCGGATGGCCATTCTTCACAAAAAGGAGGACTGGGGTGAAATTTGCAACTACCGCCCGATAAGCTCATTAAGTGTGCTTTACAAGCTGATCACTAAGATCACTCTAACCATCACATCGCAAAGGTAAATGAAGCTAAACTTGTAGAGCAGGCCGGATTCAGCTGCTGGAAGGAATTCAGCTGCTTAGACCACTTCCAAGCGCTCGCAAGAGTCATCGAAGTTTGCCGAGAATTCCGAATGCCTC